AAAAAAAAAAAAAACAAACCTTCGGTGTTGAAGCAAAAGAGTTGATGATAGTACAACCCAGTGCCTCCTCGGAGTCACAACAAGGGGAAGCCTTGTTAGGTAAATTCCTATCCAACTGTACAATCTGTGTCAAAAGATACATAGAAAATGTGTCAGTATTGCTCCAGAGGCCAAGATCAACCATGAATGCCTACTCTTTCTTTTCCCCGTTTATTTTTGGTTATGGTCATTCTTTAGTGATATAGCCTATTTTCAAGCCTTTGATATCCTAAACATGGTGTGCTGAATCAATTGAATTCAATAAATAATATAAAGTAAGAAATCTTGGACTCGTGTAGCAATTTTACTATTTTCTCCAGTTTGGGAGCTTTTATCTTGTACATAAGTGCTCTAGCTAGTGCTTTGACTAGAATCCATGAAATGAACCTATGTCTTAAAATCCAAATTTCTCAAACCAACTAAATTGAGGAGGGGAACTGAGTTGGAACCCATTCTCCCAAATTGAAGCAAACTTATGATTAATCAATGTTAATAGAAAGAATCGCAAGCATCAGATGAATCAGGGAAATAGCAAGTAAGAGAACTACTTACAGGGTTGAAGTAGGAGAAAAGTGTAGGTGACATGTTAACTAGAACCCCATTGTCAGGTCCGCTGCAATTTCACCAAACCAAACCAGCATTAATTAATTAATTCCAGAACAGAAAAGACTCAATCAAACCCGTAAAATCCTGCAATTTTGTTTTACCTTAAATGGGAGCCCAATGGTGGAGGAGGAGGACAAGTAGAAGAGGAAGAGCTGCAATTCACAGCCAGCATCTTCTGTCTCCGTCTGTTACAGAGTATGAAAAGAAACAAGTCTTTCTGATTAAGAATCTGAGAGAGAGAGAGAGAGAGAGAGTAGTTAGCATAAAAAAGGCAACAAATTTAGAAGAAAGAGAGGGCAAAATTGGAGAATGAATTGGAAAGTGGAGCAGCATTAATCAATTAAATAAATTACCTGGTCTCCTGGTGAAGTGGTGCTGGACACTTGAAACCCAAGTAAGAAAGGACCTGTATTTCCAGAAATATATATAATTAAACTTGGGCTCTTGCGTATAACATCATCATTTCTTTTTCTTCGTATCTTATAGAAGAAGAAAAAATGAAAATGAAAATGAAGAAGACGAAGATGAAGAAGAAACGAACAAGTAGTCAACAAGCTGACATTGCACGAGATTGAGTAGCCTAAAGATAAACAAGTAGACAACAAAACCTTCCACTCCACGGACTAAATAAAAAATAAAAAATTAGATGATCCACCACACCAGAAGATATGGCGGGTAGTGGGATCTATGAGCAGAAGGGAAGGGAAGGGAAGGGAAGAGAAGAGAAGAGAATTAAATTAGTAAAGAATGAATGAGATTGTGGGACCGGCCGGGACGACAACCCAAGGAGACGGGTTGAACAGGGCAATACAAAACAACAATAATGATGAACATTGAATATCATGATGATTCCTTTTCTTGGTGACATATGAATAATAACAATGAATCATGAGCAAAGCAACGATAATTTATTTATTTATTTATTTACTTATCTCTTCAGAGGTATGATTATATAACTAATTATTATTTGTAAATAAATATAAAAGAAAAAGAATACCGACACACTGGAGAAAGATATCCCTTGTTTTGCTCCAGTCATTGACCACATGTCATGTTCACACAAGTTTTTCAAGACACAGAGTAGACAGTTAAAATTGCTAATTAGGTGGCGGAAGAGGAGAGCGGTGGTAAACAAAAACAGTTATGGCGCTGAAGAGGAGTAGGTGTTCTGGTTCCGCCAAATCTCCGCAGACCCCCAGAACCGCAGACCAAACAAACTAAACAATATTCATTCCAGTGAAGTGAACCAACTACTTATGCTATACTAGTATATGATAATTAACAACTCAACTGCTTATAATATAATCATAATCATAATCTCATCTACCAGCACCATCCAATGTTAAATCACACTATTATTATTATTATTATTATA